TTCCAAAATAATCCTGATCTCCAAAACAATTCTGCTGTGCTTCTTCCCTCCCTGTGCTTCTCCCTGTCATATCTGTTCGATGGCATCGCAATCTTCCTTCATTTTTCACTCGCTTTTCTCCTACTGTGCTTGGCATCCATCTCCTTCACTCGGGGCCCTTCAACACAGCCATATAACCCGGAATATCAAGGCAGATAATCCACAATATCTGCATTGAACTGGGTTATCTGAGGCTTCTTCCACACAGTCATATAACCCAGAATATCAAGGCAGAAAATCCCACAATATCAGCTTTGAACTGGGTTATTTGACTCCGCACTGCCATATATTCCAGTTCAAAGCAGATAATGTGGGATTTTTGTTCAGCTATGTGGAAGGTGCCTCAGTCACTCCCTCCCCTCTCTTTAACATATTCTCAAAACTTTATTCTTAAGAAATTCATACTTATAAAATTGCACTTTCTTCACTTTGATGGGACCACTGAGGCCATCCAGCCCAACCTCTTGTCAGACAGGAAAAGCACAATGAAAGCACCCCTGACAGATGGCCATCCAGCTTCCACCACACTCTGAGGCAGAGACTTCCACTGTTGTACAGCAGTTTCAGTCAGGAAATGTTTTCCTAATGTTCAGGTGGAATCTCTTTTCCTGTAATTTGATCCCATTGCTCTCAATTCTAGTTTCCAGAACAGCCGTAAACAAGCCTGCTCTCTCTTACGACATAATTTCAAATATTTAAACATGGCTGTCAAGTCTCCTTAACCATCTCACACAACTAGGCAAAGTGTGGCCTTGTAGGGATTTCCAGACTGTGGCATCTATCAACCCAACAGTGCGCAGAAAGCTGCGTTTTCTCTATGTCTAGCACACTGCTTCTTGAACCATGGGTCCTGACCCCTTTAGCTCACTGCCGGGTCTGCAAAAAATTTGGCTGCAGTAAAAAGTTTCTGAATGCCACCCATTTACACAAATCTGTTAGCAATAATGGGCAGTGTTTACAGTGGCCTCTTCAGAACATGCTTCAGCTGTTCTCCACAAAAATGAAAATTAGTCTGTTTTAGCCAGCCTCACAAACACTAATTTATTGTTAATGTTTGATTTTTATACCTGTTTTATATACCTGTGGTCACATAAACATCTCTCAGGTGGAAAGGAGTCACGAGTAGAAAAGACTTAAGAAGTCCTCTAGCATACATGTTGCAAAGGAGTCCACTACAAGCCGGCACCAAATTGTAAAAGGCTCTTGTATTTATATCACTGGATGC